GTACTCCGCTCTCAAGGTACTCCCTCTACTCTCACCTGCTTTTCATTCGTGGGAGAAAAAAAAAGCTTCCATTTCGTGAGACTTGTCATTTCCTCATGTACTTCAAACAACATCAGAATCAAATGAAAAAAAAAATTATTTCACCACTTTCCCAATTCCCCTGATTAATGTAATTACTGCATACCCAAGTGATGCATTTAGGGAGAAAATAATCAGTTCAAGTAAATTTGTCACCTGGCCTTTAGGGGGCAGAGGAACTCCATAGATACTGTTTAAAAAACCCCCCTGAATAACAGTTGCAGACCAGTGAGGAGTCACTTTATACATATTTTATAAAAGCCTCACACTGCCCTCTAGGGGAAATAAAGAGGGTTTACAAGTTAGTAAGTCAAGTGGAGGAGATCTTGAAATAACTTCCAGTCAAAAGCACTTTCGGTCTTCAGTGTATTTGTGTTATTCAAGATGTAGTCAAGCTTTGTAGCAATTGCGTAAAAAAGAAAAAAAGAAAAGTCTTTCAGAAGTCCAAGTAGTATTTGGATTCATAATTAGAGTTTGAGTTTGGTATTTTATCGTCATCACACACACATTTGTTTGTCTCTGTCTGTCTGTCAACCCTGTTCATGTACTTTTCCTCCGCTCCAGGCACATCTGAGGGTTCTGCAGAATTCACTGGATCCGACCAAGGTCTTTTATCGGCAGCAGATTCTTTGTCCAACGTTAGCCGGAAACCCTTGTCCAGTGATCACCGTCACCGCATGTCCTACCAGGAAGGCCTGGAAGGACATGCACCAGCTGCGTGAGTGACGCCAAGTGTTCACATGCAAGTGGGCGTTCAAGAGGAAGACACAGAACAGATTCAGGAAGATGAAAAACAGGAATTCATCCTGAGGGAAACAAATGTCATGTGGTTTCTTTGTTTTTCAGCCAGGGATATGCGGAAATAATTAGTTTAGGTGAAAGCCTCAGAGCGGCCTGCACTGATATGTTGGACTGTAAATACACATGATGACCACAACTTCTCAGTATACTGCCATGACATCATGTCAGTACTGTGATACAGGGCCATCTTCCTAAGACCATATTTTGATTTTGGCAACATGGTTATTACTGTATGTTAAATCATATACTGTAAACTACAGATGAAAATTAAACTCACTGCTATCTTCAGACATTTAGTCAACCTCTGAAAATGAAAACACATTTAAAATTAAAATTTGTAAAACAGATGCCCAGATAGACCAAACTGATGCTATTAATCAATTATAACGTGTTAAGTACTTCTATAAGTATGCCACTCTCACATATAAACATTTACTGTATGTGTTTATAGCGTTGTTTCCCATAGACTTTGGGTCGTCTCGCATCATGTTTCTCATGAGTTTAGGAATAATGTCTATTGACTTGGGTCGCGAAGGTTTGTGACTTTTAAAACATGGGTCCCCAGAAAAAAAGCCACCACCGTGTTAGTGTAGGTGAGAGACGTACTGTGAAGATCAAGTTACATCACTCCGTAGGAATGTAATTCTGACCTAAGTCGAGGAGCCTCTACAGTAGATCTAGAGAAAAATGACATAACTTGACTCTGTATTTTATATTTTTCTCTGCAGGGAATCGTCCTTGTATTCTGCTGACGGGCCGCGTCCACCCGGGGGAATCGAACGCCAGTTGGGTGATGAAGGGCACGCTTGAGTTTCTGTGCAGCAATGACCTCGTAGCCCAGAGTCTGAGGGAGGCTTTTGTCTTCAAGATAATACCCATGCTCAACCCAGACGGAGTCATCAACGGCACGTGAGTGAAACTTGATCTCTTACTAGAACAGAAGGAAGAGTAAACGTGTATTTTCAATAACGGTGGTGCAGTCATTTTACCCAAACTTCTTTCTTACCTTCACAGACATTGCAAAAGCTCTGCCCCCTCCCCTCACTCCCCCCTCAATGTGTATCCACTGCTGTGATTAAAAACCCCCTGAGAAATGTTCCATATGTTTGTTTGACCCTAGGAATCGCTGTGATTTGAACGGTGAGGATCTCAACCGTCAGTGGTCTAAACCAGACCCTGTCCTCAGCCCGACCATCTACCACACCAAAGGCCTACTTTACTACCTCAACAGTATTGGGCGAACTCCACTGGTGAGATACACACACACACACACACACACACAAACCTTTTCATCTCTAGTACAGTACTTCACATACATGTGAACTTGATCCTCTAGTTCATTCCCTCGCTCCTTACTTAAACCGTATCCACTGTATTTTCCAGACTATAAGTCGCACTTTTTTTTATCCTTTGGCTGGGTTTGTGACTTAGGTGCGACTTATAAATGAAAACATATGATTTCACGTTTGTTATTTTCACATTTGCCGCTAGAGGGCACTGTTGGGACTTACATACTGAGGAGCGACTTATATATGTTTTTTTTCTTCTTCATTATGTATTTTTTGGCTGGAGCGACTTATAATCCAGAACATACAGTACTGCAATGCATCTGTCCATATCTAATTGTACCCTAATTCTAGTCGTAACAACAAACTAAATCATGATCCTCAAAAGCAGTTTTACTCAGTAGGGTCTGGCAAACCCATCCCTCCAAGGACTAGTGAACCCAGAACATTGGTATATTCCCATAAAAACAAACCCTTCAACCTATATATATAAATATATATATATATGTATACTGTGTATATATATAAACCAGTGTAAGTGTATTTATGAAGATGAGTGGTGCCAGATTATTTTGAGACTTTTTGATCTCTTCCAGGTTTTCTGTGACTACCATGGTCACTCCAGAAAGAAAAACGTATTCCTGTATGGCTGCAGTGTAAAGGAAACTCTCTGGCAGTCTGGCTCTGCAGTCGACACGCTAGCCTTTAAAGAAGATCCTGGATACAGGGTGAGTCTGGTGTTTGAGCTAAAGATAACGTCTACTGGTACCACCAAAACAAACACGTTGTAGAGATGATGCGACGAAAGGAAAGTCTGGGACACGGAACAAAACCTGTATGTCGTCCAGAATCTTTGTATCAGCCACAGGAACAACGAGAACAATCTTCTTAGATTACAGCATGATAAACCACTGGGTCTCTTTAAGACTCCTCAAGCCCTTGGTCCATTTGTCTATTTGACATTTTTTGTGGCAGTACCGACTTTGGCAGTTTTAAGATAAGTTCATTTATCATGTCAAGGGTCACTTTGCCAGATTTCCTCTTTCTTGTTGGATACATTTATCAGGTATCACAGCTGAGGATTGATTCATGTACCTAATTGAGCATGTACCTGACATCATCAACGCCTGTGATCCATAGTAGTACTACAAGGACCGTGGTAACACTTTTGGTTGATTAAGCAATTTCCTTATATCTTTGCATTCAAATATCAACATGTGTACGTTTCAAAAATCCGACTGTTCAATCAAAATACCAAGGTACACACACATACTGTATATATATATGTTTATATATTTTGTACATATATTTACATATACACGCACATATATACAGTGTATATATGTTCATATATGTACACATATATTTACATACATACATACATATAAGCGTATACACACAAATATATAAATACATTTTATATATTTTATATTCACAAATACAAAACAATGTACAACTCTTGGCTCTTAGAGTCTCAGCCTGGTGGTCACTGAAGGTTAAGTCTTTAATGCCTCTGGTTCAAAGATTAATTGCTTTGGCTCTAACAACCAAAACACCACAGTAACATTACAGTATTATTATAGGACAGTCGGCTGTTCAGGATGAGCAGTGTATGTGATGTGATTAATATTTAGAAATATACAGCTTCAACTGGAGGGTTTGCTGATAAGTGACCAGGACTGTTCACTTAGTGTACGATGCATGTCATTTAGAGACATGTAGGTAAATCATGTCTGAATATCTGACATTGAGTCTGATAAATCATGTCTGAATATCTGACATTGACAGATATTGTGTTGTTGTGTCTCTGGATTTCTATACACACGCTCTGAGGTGGCTGCTGAAATCACAGCTCTGGCAACAGATTGCCTTGCCACTGACTAACGAACAGATGAACTAAATATATTGTCGATGGGCAAAATAAAAGCAACTATAACTATACATGAGACTGGATTCCAAAACAAACAAAACATTTAGGCCCTGACAAATACAGTTGGTGCTAAATAATGAAGAGACCACACACAACACTGACAGGTAGACAATTACAGTATCAGAAAAATATAAAAAAAACAAACAAAGAAAAACATTTCTTGTTTTATATGATAGATATTGCCTGATTTGACTTCCTTCCCTTCCTCCATTCCTTCTTCCCTTCTTTCTCTTTGTACTTCTGTAGACCATTGCAAAGACTTTGGATCGTATCGCCCCAGCCTTTTCTTTCAACAGCTGCAACTATTTGGTAAAAACAACTTTTCCTAAAAGACGATGACACATTCGTCTCAGTCCTTTGATATTCCTTCAGTTTTTCTTGTTCTACTCTTGTTTCCTCCACAACACTCACTTTTCATCACCCATGACTGTAACCCTCATCATCACTTTTCATCCAAACAGTTTCTCACGTCCTGATGACTCGTCAGGGTCATTGTGATAATTACAATTTCTACCGTACACTATGACAGCACTCAATGTTCTGTTTAATGAACCTGAACTCATCACGCCAACCAATCAGGCATGTTTAAAGCAGGTCACATCCTCTTTTAGTTTCACTTTGTTCGATATGAACTTTTTTCCAATATCCGATATGCTGATTTCAGCAAATTTGGCAAAACGCGGGGATTGTGTTATCGGAGCAAAAAACAATAACAATCTTACCGATATATGTAATTATGCTAATATCGGGCAGATAATATCGGCTGTTCAATAATATCAGACAACCCTACTTAGAGACCAAGGACATGAACTGTTGCTGGTTTTTTTGTGCGGACTGTGATCTGACTTTAAATAAAGTTAAAGACCTGTTCTTGACAGAATCATGTGTTTCCCTGAAATGCCATTATCCTGAAAGCCTCGCCATTAATCATACACTCGGCTGTAGAGTTCTCATTTCTACTTCTGTAGTGTACCCCAGAAAAGACAAATCACCTCTGTAGTTACTGTCTGTTTGTATATTACAGTGGTGGGTTGCGTTAAGCCACAGTGCTCCCCCCAAAGCAGCCCCTAAGTACAAGTCCAACACAGATGCACTACTGGTTATACAGTAATGCTGAAGCACCACAGGGCTCGGAGTTAAAATATTACGAAGGGTCTCGGGAAAACATTTACTGTGTTTTATTTAAATGTATTTTCAGTAAAGTAAATTAGAGGAGAATTTGTTCTGGAAACTATTATTGTTAAACTGTAAACACTGAGGCATTTCCTGTTTGGAATTGGTCAGGTGGAGAAGTCTCGCTCTGCTACAGCCAGAGTGGTGGTCTGGAGAGAGATGGGTGTGTTGAGAAGTTACACCATGGAGAGCACTTACAACGGCTGCGACCAAGGAATATATAAGGTGTGTGAATTTAGTTAACACTGAAGCCTCGTGGAGCTGGAGCTTAAATACTGCCCTTCCTGAATTGGAGGCCACGCCCTGCAGGACTCTGACTCGTCAGCTCTGGATTCAGAGCAGCTGTGACAAGAGGCCAACAGCAGCAAAACACAGAGGAACACAAACACCAGGATTATACAGGGAGTGGCCTCCTCACAGACAACAGGCTGCAGTGTCGTGTTTTCAACGCTCATTCACCACAAAACATTAAGAGGGCGCTATTCTACACATTATAAAAAGATGAGGGACCACTGTATATATAATTCACGCTACAACAATCTGAGCCACGCCCACTATAGTCAACCATGCTCTAGTTGTTCACATTCTCTCAGACATTGCAAGATACGAAGAGTTAAATTCAAACTGATACTCAAACAGAGACCCTTCCTCTTTTCTTGCCTTGTGCGTGGCTGTGTCTTGATCTGTGCGTACAGGACCTGCAGATGGGAACCAAAGAGCTGCAGGAGATGGGGATGAGGTTCTGCCAGAGTCTTCTTTCTGTAAATAAAGCTCAGTACACCAGGGCGCTCATCAACCTCGTGGACCTGGGTCACAACATCCTGGACCACAAGTCTCACACGTAAGACCCTACAAACCAGGACTAAACCTGTGATCTGACTTATGAGACGGACTAGTTGGGGGGGGGGGGGGGTGTGTGGGTTGCAAAGACTCTTTGAATTTCCCCATATTTTTCAAACATACCTTCGTCCATTACTCCTCGTTCCTCCCTCCTGGTTCAACATTTCAGACACAAAACCTCTTCCCTTTACGTCTCACTCTGGAATATTTTTCTTCAGTTTCTGGCTTTTTCCACAGTTTAAAGATCAGTGTGCCTGTCACATCCTCTCTGTCCCCAGTGGAGCACCAGTGGATTAGCTTCACTCCCTCACATACACACATACTCACACATACAGTACATATTCCAGAGCTGTGAGTGTGTAATTAAATCACTGGTTAGCTGGGGCTTTCTGACACCTGTCAATCACAATAGCTGTTCAAGGTCAAACCATGGAGGATTAGATTAAGTCTAACAGTTTCCGGAATGCTTGAAGAACATTTGGAAGATTTAGATTTCCTCTAAAAAAAAAAATCTGTATCAAGGTTTCGGTTCATAAAGGGCCGCACCTGGATTTAAGAGTAGAAGACGTTCAATGATGGTTTTTTTACCTGGATTTAAGAGTAGAAGACGTTCATTGATGGTTTAGTCAAATTTAGCGGGACATTGCTCTCAGTAACTCTAAATCTCTCCTCCTGTGATTTGCAGCTGTTTTGAGGACGACGAGCCCCCGTGTGTGGAGGAGATAGAGTATTCTACAGACTGTCCGACTCTTAAAGGCTCAGATCTGGATTCAGATGTCAATAAAAACATGGCCGCCGCAGATGAAGATGGATTCGGTGACGGTGATGACGACGGAACTCAGCAGCTGAGCAGCAGGAGCCGCCTCTTTCCTCAGCCCATCAGACAGGGATCAGTAGAGACTCTCAGAGAGAAGAGAAACCTGAGCAAGAGAGTCAACGGACAGATCACTGTTTAAGAGAATGGTTTCCCATTTGTCTCTGCCAAACCCCGGGGTTTGTTCTGCCTCTGCCCCTCCCTGGCCATGGATGTGCAGACGTTACGAAAAAAAACACAAAAAACAAACAAAGAAAAGAACAAAGAAAAGAAAACCTAACCCCATTGTCACCTAGAAGCAGATCTCTCAAGATCAACATTTGATATTGGTATTTAATCAGCAACATTTCACATATACATCATCTGAACTAAATGTATATATATATATATATATACATATATATATATATATATAAATTCAGACTGTAATCCAAGAACAGTGGCGTTATATAAGACACGTTTGCACACGGCTGATCATTCATATCATGTTACTAATCTAACGTGTCAAGTTAGTGCGGGGGGTGACCGGTTCAGTTACGTTTTACATTTTGCGAAAATATTATTACTTCGACGTTAGCACTAGCATTAGCATAAGTATTTTATCAAGATAGTCTTAATTGGTGAATGCTTCACTGTACTCTTAAAGATTTGTATTTACTGTAGTTTAGTTTGTATTTACAGGACAGGACTAATATAGACTGTGCATATTCCACTGTAGTATATATGCTGTATACTGTATTTTATATGAAAGATCGCTTAAATTGTACAATCCTGTAGCAGCAAGTGCTGAGAACCACATGTCCAGATGAGAGGGGCTTGGTTTTTTTTTTTTTTTTTTTTTAATGTTTTTCACTTTAATTTCTCCATCTGAATTTAACAGTTTGTCAATAAACATTGCCATTTTCCAACACTATATATTTAGGTACAAAGTTGTCTTACAGACCTGAATTAAATGTGTTTAATTTAAATGGTAGTGTTGGGTTTGTTGGAGAGCTACAGTACCTACACACGTGGATCATTTTCACGTGCACTTCAATTATCTCCTAATATTAAAACGGTCATTTAGGAGTCAGCACACAGAAACCCAATACACCCCCGCGAACAACTGCATCGCTCCAATAAAGATTCATAGCAGTCTCTCAGTTCTACAAGGAAATTAAAAATGTATTAGGTGTCCTGTTTCACTGGTGTGGCGCTGGTCGATTCAGTTTTCGTCACCGCACACACTGGAGTGAACTGGATCATTTTTCCTGCTGGTGGCAGTCGCTCATGAAGAGACGATACATAAAGAAAGTTGAGTTTAAGTTGGGATTACTATTTATACAAAATAAACAAAAACAATGTCTTTGATGGAGTTTTGTCCGGTAGCCCGGTGATTCCCAACCATTGTGCCAATGGAAATGACCAAATTTTAAATGAATTGGTCCGAAAACTATTATTTATTTATTGCAAATATTTTTTCTTTGTCCGTCAATGCATGACAAGCAGAACAATTAAATACTCTTTGCTATGTGGCAGCAGATAGGCTAAAAAAAAAAAAAAAAAAAAATCAGAACTGTTGAATTCAGATCTTTATAAGTGTCTTTCTTCAGTTCCTGCCAGTGTTTCAGCGTCGTCTTCAACTAAACAGGAGTACATTTTAGTAAATTTAAACTAAAAGAGTTTTATATTTCACTACATATACGTTTTGTGACGTCTTTGTTCAACGGTGTGCCGTGGCTCAAAAAAGGTTGGGAAACACTGAGGTAGTTCTGTCCTTCTGTCTCTCTCCCTGGTGATCAGTTGATCACAGTCACCTGTGTCCTGTGATCTGTTTGTCTGATTAGTCTCACCTGGTGCCCTGGGTATATAAATGCCTCTCTGCCTCACGGTGTCTTTGTTTGTTGGTGTTGGTGTTCACCATGGTCTTAATGTTAATGTTGTTGGTGTTGATGTTGATGTTGTTGTTGGTCTTAATGTTAATGTTGTTGGTGTTAATGTTGTTGTTGGTGTTGATGTTGGTTTTGGTGTTGGTGTTAATGTTGGTGTTGGTGTTGGTCTTGGTGTTGATGTTGTTGTTGGTCATCTGTCTGATGATATCTGTGTCTATATGTTGTTGTCTGTCAGTGTCTTTTCTTGAGTTCTTCTACTCAGGTGTTGGACTTGTTCTTGTACCTGACTCCATCTCTGGAGCCGCTTAGGACAGGATTTCCCTTTTTCCCTGACTTAGTAGTTTTAAGAACTCTCAATGTCAACTCACGGAACATAAAAGAAAACAACACAACAATCAACAAAGTTGTTTAGATTCAAGTCTGATTCATACTGTTCTCACACTCGATCGAGTATTGAATTTATGTTCATTTTCATAGTCATGTGATCAGCACAGTGGGACTGCACTACGTACATGGTCGTTTTAATTGCCTCCACAATTCAAGCCACAAAGTGAATATATATGACCATGTGTAATAAAACCAGGATGTGGCAAATGAGCACTTTTGTAGTTTTATGGCTTTGCAGCTAAAATTAGTGAATGCACATTAGCTTGGAGTGTCCACGCACACGTAGCGTAAATCTAGGTTTACTACGCATTCAACACTGTATTGAGTGACAGTGTTTATTAGACGTAAATCTGGTTTAGACTTTGATCTAAACTACGGTTATAAAAAACCAGCACTTAGATTTGGCTAATGGTGTCACACGCTCTCTCTGTACAGACTGTATTTTAATATTAGGTTGAATGGTTAGACTGTAGTGCAAGTATCATTTACGTTGTATTTTGCAGTGACATGAATGTACAGTAAGTTGTGTATTTTGTAGAAGGTAAAATTTCTGTGAAAAAAAAAGGGTCTACTAGTCTTTATTTTATTTTTTATTTTTTTAGAGTCAGTAGTTTCTCTTTTACGCTCTGCATCATGGATTAGCTTGATTAACCAATTTTCCTTCTTTCCTTCTGAGGGGAAAAAAGGGATTTCTCAGACCACAAAAAAAAATCAATTCTTTTAGCATTTAGCTCACTGCATTACATATGCTAACTGCATGTAGAGGCTGTATCATTTCTGTGTCCAAAATGTAGTTTGTAACGCAGTACCACAGTTGGGCAGCAGGAGACGGCTCTGGCTGTCATTGACAACTGTAGAATAAATCAGAAAAGATACAGAAATATGCTCTGAGTCCTAGCTCCTGGCCTGTTAGCACAGCGCCACTGACAGTCAAGCTAACTTGTTGTTCCCAAGAAAATATTTATATTTTTTGCAGTTTTTGTTTTTTTTTTTAACCTGAATTAGTTTGTCAGTGCAATTAGGTTTAAATGAGAATTAGACAAAAACTAAATAACATAATGGGTTTAAGATGTTTTGTTTTTACTAAATTCTCTGCCTCTCTTTATCTCTCGCTCACTCGCACACACACACACACACACACACTGTAATGGCACTAGCTAATCACCATTCAGATCTTTACTGTCTGCTCAGTCGGTAATTAGACGACAAGGAATGACCAGAGGGAGGGGTTCTGAATCCGTATCAGCC